TTATAAAACATGAGACTTTTTTCAGAAAAAAATCCACCCAAAAAAGGACGAACAATATTATTCTTTTGGTTTGGCATGCGTCTGGAACTGCATGCAATCTGAGATAGTTAAAAACCTGCAAAAACATTATTCTTAATGTTCATATTCTCTCCAATAATGCCGTAATTAAAGAAGCACAGCGTACTTGAATGAGCGTAATTGGGTATCATTGGGTACTGGGTATCATTGGGTATCACGCACACATTTCAAATCACGCACACACTACTGTTCCTCTCATTACGTGTGACACTGACAGGCAAAGATCTCAGCCGAAGCTCTTTCAATCATGACTGCACCTCGCGCTCTCCCAAATAAGGTTACATCGTTATGAAGTTAATCAGTTAATGGGACCAGTCGTTTAATCGGGCCGCTATGGCTAAGTTCTCCCGATATGGTTTGATTGTCTCCGCTGTACTTAAATATAGAGTGAAGTGTGTATGAGATGAGTGTTTGGCATGTGTGTGTGTGTGTAGTTGTGTTTGTGTGTGTGTGCGTGTAATGTGTGTGTGTGTAAGAGGCCGATAATGACGTAGTTGATGACGTCAATTATAATCGCTATAATGACGGACAGCTGAATTGAATTTCCGTGTTACGACCGCATGTTTCATTGGCGATAATTTGACGTCATATAGACATTTTAGCAGTTGTACATGTTGTTGTTGTCGTTGCTGCTGTTGCTGAAACTGTTGCTGTTGTTAAAATTGTTGTTGTTGTTGCTACTGTAGTTGTTACTGTTGTTAAAATTGTTGTTGTTGCTGTAGTTTTTGCTGTTGTTGTTATTGCTGCTGCTGTTAAAATTGTTGTTGTTGTTGTATTAGTAGTGTTAATGGCTAACAACATTGTTAGTGTTGACAACAGCAGTAGTAGTAGCAGTAGCAGTAGTAGCAGTAATGGTGTTTTTAGTAATAGTTGTAATGTTTGATGATGGCGATACAAAAAGGCGGAAGTAACAGGAACACTGTTTTCATAAAACAAATTATCAGGGAAAAAAATTTTTATTATGTTTGTTCTTTTTTCGGACTTTTATTTTAATTTTTTTTGATCCACTTTTTAAATTTTTTTGACAGAAAAATTTTAATTTCGTTAAAAATCCAACATTCATCAGGCAAGTCACACAGACAAAAACACATGACCAACCCATTATAACACGTGCACACACACACACACACACACAAGCACTCTCTCTCTCTTTCTCTCTCTTTCTTTCTCTCTCTCTCTCTCTCTCACACACACACATACAATAACAACACACACACACAAGCACTCTCTCTCTCTTTCTCTCTCTCTCTCTTTCTCTCTCTCTCTCTCTCTCTCACACACACATACAATAACAACACATACACACACAAAAGCACTACTACACTCAGCATATGAAAATGGATGTAAATTTAAAACCTCATCCTATGTGAAAACATGTACATGTACAACATCCAAATTATTTCATACATTTATATACATAAATTCATATATTTACTTACATTTTATTAAAAAAAACCTGCCTATACACATTTTATCTTTAAACACTTACACATATGCACACACATGTACACACAAACGCAGACATATACACTAATAAACACACACAAACATACACAGATGTACACATACTTACACAGACATACACAAATATAAAAGCATTTGCATTAGGATAGTTTAATATTTGCCCAAGTGCCTCAGGATCTCAAATGCTTCAAAGCATTTTTTTTTCTACTCCAACAGCAGCAGCAACAGACGCCGTTGAAATGGCGGCCAAGGCCACCAACTTTGCGACAAAATTGCTGTTATCTATCAACCTCCTCCGCGGAATGTTCTCTGTATAAACATTCCATTGCACACATATTTGTTTGTGTATGTTTGTTTGTATACGTATTCGTGTGTATCTACCTATATGTGTGTAATCTTCTTATTCAAAATTTATTTGCCAACATAAATGCCTTCATTTCTGTTGCGTACGAACGCATTCATGCTTACAAACCAATCACGCATTAACATTTATACACACGTTCATTCATACATTCGGACATACATACCAAGCAAACACGTACACGCACTTACACGCATACACAGACGCAAATACTCACAAACTGAAGCGCGAATATACAAAGCGGTTACACCCACGCATATGCAAACATGAAAACATACACCGCAAACATACATTCGATAAAACATACATACATACAATTATACATACAATTATACATACAATTATACATACAATTATACATACATGTGTGTAAACAGGTTTGGTCGTTTTAAAAATATACATGTTTGTATTTCAGAGAAAAGATTGTTTTTGACATTTGATCACAGAAAAGAATATTTTTTTTAAATTTATCGCAAAAATAAAACATTAATGACCCTTTTTACTTTCTGTTTTGAACATGAAATTTGTTTGCTCGTCAAAAAATCAGTTTTTAAAAATTACGAGTCCGTTTTTGTTGTATTTTGTTTGTTTTTAAGGTGCATTTATTTCACTTTTAAGTAGGTGCGGACGTCTTTGTGTTGTATGTTTATGTACGTGTATCTGCGTACGTGTGTGTATATGTTTAAATGTACCACAGAAAAACCCAAACCCACAGGAAGCATCTGGGTTTTGTTTCGATTCAATTTCAAAGAATAGCTCGACATCCAACATTCAATTTCAATCAAGCATTTGACAAGTTCCTCGATTTCAGGGTAAAATGTCTCAGGTCGTCATCAACAATTATCTGTATGTCAATCAGTAGGCATGACCACAGAATCCACGCGAGTTTATTATTTGAGTTATGTCTGATGTGTTGAGCGAAAACAAGACCGGTCCCATTCCCAATACTGATCCTTGAGATGGGCCATCGTTAACCTTTTTACTTTCCATGAAACATTTTTGAACAAAACCTGTGACTACGATCCTTCAAATATGGTTCAAACCGTGTAAGAGGTGCTCCCGATACACCGAACTTGCATCGCAATTCTTCCAATGGTCTGCTGTGGTTCTCACAATCAAATCCAGAAGACATATCAAGAGAGGATGGTGTTGATATCTTTCGATAATTCGTAGCGACAAATAGGTTTGACGAAACAAGTAGCAGTGCAGTTTCAGTTGAATAGTAACATTCACATGCTGTTTGATTGCTTGGCATTAAATTGTTTATCACCAGATGATTCAACAGGCTCTATATGTAACCTTGGAGATCAAAGAAAGGTTCGAAATCGGCCTAATCGCCCACATCATCAGCATCCAAGTTTGCTTTTTTTAAGATAGGTTGAACAATTTCTTGTTTGCAGACTGGTGGAAATTTACCAGAACGTAAACGCAAGTTAATGAAACTCATCATGAAACGTATATATGAGTCAAAATATTTTTTCAATACGTGTGTAGAGAGGATGTCAGGGCTTCAAGTTATATATACATATGCGTGTGTGTGTGCGTGTGTGTGTTTGTGTATGTATGAGAGATTGTTTGAGTTTGTGTGTGTATGTGTGTCCGTGAGTTAGAAAACACTAACCAAGAGAGAGTTAATGTGTGCGTGTGCATGTGTGTGTTTAAAATAAAGTACTAAGGGCTAACTTGTGTGATTATGGAGGTGAAGGTGTTATACTAAATACGTTTGAGTTTATAGTCTATGTGTGTGTATGTGTGTGTGTGTGTGTATGTGTGTTAAAATGTTTTTCCCAGTATCTCAGCGTATACTTGTGTGTTTGTGTGTGTGTTTATATATATGTTTATTGAACAAATGAATGACTGAATATATGAATGAATAAATGAATGAACGAATGAACAAACAAACGAACGAATAAAAAAAACGAACGAACGAATGAATGAACGAACGAACGAACGAACGAATGAATGAATGAATGAATATGGTAGTCTCAAACGGAAGTGCAATTTCATTTATAAACAGGAAAACAATCCTCAGAGGTATGAAGCCAGAATAACAGTTTGTACAGTTCCATTGTTTAATAAAAGAAGTAACACGCACACACACACGCACACACACTCACACGCACATACATCTTGCTTGCACACACACATATATAAACATCAAAAACATCATGTACTCATTTAACGAAATACAATACATACACACTTGCATACAGAGGCACACATACATATACATACATAGACGCATATACATGCATACTTGAAGATATATACACGTACATAGACACACACACACACACACACACATACTATATCGATGCCACACAAATGTAAGCAAAAATTTAATTTAAGGATTTATTGATTTTAATTCAAGTTAAAAAGAATAATAAAAGTATTTAATGTAATTTGATACCTTTATTTATTTAATAAACTTTATGAGATGTCGTCTGCCAAAATTCAGATTTAATTTTTGTGGCATGGTTTTTTTTACATTTTTTTAATAAAAATAAATTTAAAAAAGCAGATTTTCACATAAAATAATTGCCTAGATTTTACCAAATGCCAATTTCATGTTTTAAAAAGTTCATAAAATAAACAAAAAAAATCCCCCCAAATTAAAAACGAAATAAAATGGAGGAAAAAGACGTTTAACAAATTTATAGAAGGGGCGAAATTAAATTTCCTCGTTCAGTCTGCGCAGTGCAAATTTCATTGCAACTTCATGTCTACCTACCTACCTATGTACTCCTGGACCAATTACTTCATTTTATCTGCTAATTATTTTAGTAGTTTTATTGTTTAGCAGCAGTAGTAGCAGCAGCAGCAGTAGTAGTAGTTGTAGTAGTAGCTGTAGTAAAAGTAGTGGTAGTATCAATATTAGAAGTAGTGGTAGTAGTAGTAGTTGTAGTAGTAGTAGTGGTGGCTGTAGTAGTATTAGTATTAGTATTAGTAGTAGTAGTAGTAGTAGTAGTAGTAGTAGTAGTAGTAGTAGTAGTAGTAGTAGTAGTAGTAGTAGTGGTGGTAATGTTTTATTATTTCTAATAAAATATGCATAAGTGCTGGGTGAAACACACACCGACCCACATAATTTATTTTTAAAATGGAAGTTGAACTACTGACTGCACTAGTAGGTACTACTATGCATATAATAGTAATTTTCAGTATCGTTAACTTCACTGTGTAAATAGCCGTAGTATAATATTGATAGTGGATAAGTGGATTAGTAATATTACTGCAAAAATTTAAAACAACATCATCTTCAACAACAATAGCATCATTATAGTCGTCGTCATCATCTTCACCGTCCTCATCTTCATCTTCATTATTTTTATTGTAAGTATTATTTTTATTGCTCCATCATTAAAGAAGTCTCAGTACTAATATATTTCAACGTCACTATCCAGAGATATTTATATCCGGTCGTAAATATTACTTGTATTATCATCGTTCATATATCATACCCATAGATATATGTATTGTATAAATAACCATATATATCCATTATATCTATGATTATACCCATCTATCAGAAATGACGTCATCTTCATGTTTTTTTTGTTTACATTAGTATCATCATCGTAAAACGTCATCTTCAAGTTTATATTCGTATCATAATCATCATCATCATCACCATCATCATTACCATCATCATGTTGTTTTTGTTTGTGCTAGTATCATTATCGTCGTCATCATCTTAATGTTTACGATAATGATACTAATACAGTCTCTATGATACTGATATCATTATCGTCGTCATCCTTGTTATGTTTACATTAGTATCATTATCGTCACCAGCGTGTTGTTTATCATCCCAAATTTATCATCACTTCATTTCAAACCACACATCAGCTGACGTCAGTTGCTGCAGTTTAAGCCACCGAATCTTACCAAGCATCACTTCTTCTTCCTTCCTGTCCTCATCATCTTCATCGTCACTACCGCCATCTCATCATCATCATCATCGCCATCATCATCATCATCAGGGCCGTGGTAGTATCCACCATCAAAACGAACAACTCCAGCAATCTCAGCAACAACATCAACAACAACATCTCCATCAGCCAATCGTGTCTACTCACTTCTATGACGTCACCAAAGAAAGGGCGAGTGGGCGCGTTTTTTGTTTGGTTGTCGAAAATATCTTTTTTAAAGACATTTATCGCGCATTTGTTATTATTATTGTCGTTATTATTAATGATGTTATTGCTGTTATTATTATCATCATCATAATCATCATCATCATTTAAATCATCATCATTATTATCACCATCATTATAATTATCATCATTATCATCATTATTATCATCATCATCATCATCATCAACACCCTGAAATTATATAATTTTCTTTTTTTCAACTTGTCATATTATCCAAAAAATATTTTCGATTTGTCATTCATCATTACAGTTTTCAGAAAATTAATGAAACCATCATCATCAGTTTTAAAAATGTCATTATCTTTATCATCATCAACAACAACATCTTCTTCATCATCAGCATCGTCTTTATCATCTTCATCATCTTCTTCGTCATCATCATTATCTTTAATGCTGTTACCAACGTCATCTTTGACAGCAATACTATCATCATCGTCATCATCCTCATCATCATCTTTTTCACCATCTTCATCATCATCATCTTCTTCTTCACCATCTTCATCATCATCATCTTCATCATCTTCTTCTTCACCATCTTCATCATCATCATCTTCTTCTTCATTATCTTCATCATAATCATCTTCATCATTATCTTTTTCATCACCATCATCATCTTTTTCATCATCATCTTCACCATCTTCTTCATCTTCATCATCATTTTTATTGTTATCATCACAAAAGAAGTTTCATCCTACCGCGTTTTTATTAGCGCAATACCCCTTTAAGATTTTCAATCTGCTTGCAATAGGTCTAGTGGCGGTGCTCGAGATGGTCGTTGAAGAGTAGTGGTGGTGGTAGATATAATGGTGGTGGTGGTAGAGATATTGGTGGTGGTAGTGTTAGAAGATGTGGTTGTGGTGTGGTGGAAATAGAAAATGTTGTAGATCCCCAAGTAAATGTTTGGACTTCGATAGTTACCTCCCCTTTTTTCATTTCCTTACGCGGCAAAATAAATTAATAATCTTCGCAATTTTCGGAGGATTTATTTACATTTTAAAACGCTGTCACAACTTTTCAACTTCACTCCTCACTTTTCAAATCTTGAAGTTTTTTATTATTTAGAAATTAACCAACGTCAAACATAACTTTATCGCGTGTAATCAAAACCAAAAATACGACATGATATAATACAGAGTAGCGAATAACTACCAAACAGGTGGGTGCCTCTGCAGCGCAGCAGCTGCACCACCAGCAGCTGCACCACAAGCAGCCGCCGCCAGCAGACGTGTACGTCGTCGTGTACTCCGTTGAAAACAGGAACTCCTTCGAAATAGCCGTGGACCATTTGTTCAACCTGAATCACGTGACGACCTCAAAGTCAATGACGTCATCCAATACGTCATCGGAAAAAAGAAATTCGTGGCGTTTCCTTGACGACGGTACATTTCCGGTCCTGCTGGTAGCCAACAAGGTTGACCTTGTTCGTAGTAGGGATGTGCTGGAACAAGGTCGGATGAATTTTTTTTTTACTGATATAAATTTACCTTTGGTTTGGTGGTAAATGCTCAAATGCGCGTTTATCTAGTTTGACGTTGCCCGAGTTTGAGTAATGAATACTTAATGGCTCCTAATGCATCTGGATCTGGTGCATGATGGAGTGCTTTTGTTTTCTGAAAGTATTTTGTTGATCAGGGGATTTTGTGTAAAGAAAATTTAATGTAGGCGGTTAGCGAAAGTATGTCAGTATTGCTATCTGCTATCGTCAAAATGAGCTGAATTTGAAGAATAATGTTTTTATTAAAAATTAACAATTTTGTCTAATTTTCAGAAGGAAAGTTGATGGCGGAGATGTACCGGGTGCACAAGTACCTGGAAGTGTCCGTGGAGATAGGGCACGAGGTCGATAGCCTGATCCGCACCTCCCTGAAACTTCTAGCAATGACGTCATCCACGTCGTCCGCAACATCTTCTTTGCCGGAGTCATCGAGCATTTATGACGAATCATTTTCTGCGTTTAAACCTTACGTCAGAGACAACAACTCCAACAACAACAACAACTTCAACAATAAAAACAACAACAACAACAACTCTAACAATAAAAACAAAAATAATAGTAACAACAACAAGAGCAACATGAAACATCAAGTGCATTACGATTGTGCAACTGAGAAAAGTTTCAAAAGGCTTTCAGAAAGAGCAACAACATCACACAAGACAACGAAACAAAAACATCAAAATTTGAATAAAAGCGAACTTAGATACGAAGAAGGCAAGTGCTCGTGTTGTTGCGCGTCGACTTCGAGCCAACATGAAGAGCAGAGTCAGTATTCAAAGTCATGCAGCGATCTATCGCACTGAATGAAAGGATGAATGAATTAATGAATGAATGAATAAAAAAAAACTCATTCCATCCATTCATCTCATTTTCAAATTTTGTATTTTTTTTATCTTATTTATCTTCACCATTCTCAATTTCATATTTGCTTCACTTTGTTTTCAATAATTCCTCATAACACGGATTTACGAAAAAAAAAAATGAATAAAATAATTTGTAATCACCGAGAACGTACGTTGTACGTGTAAATACGTTCGCCCGGTTATAACAAACATTTGAAATATCGGAGTACTACTTATTAACCAGGATGTCTTATAAAGAAGTTGTCGTTCTTCAAATTACAAATACCCATGTGGCTTTGTGTCTCTGATATAAACATTTGTTTATAACACACCAACATACACACATACACAGAGAGAGGGAAAGAGAGAAATGGAAAGAAAGAAAAAGAAAGAGGAAAGATATATATATATATATATATATATATATATATATATATATATATATATATATATATATATATATAGAGAGAGAGAGAGAGAGAGAGAGAGAGAGAGAGAGAAAGTGAAATCATTTACATCATAACAACAAAATTCTTTTAAGACATTTTGCCTTTTACTGTTGTATTGATATAAAACTTGAGTGATTTAATTGTTGTTGATGTTAATATTTGTATATCTATATCTATGAATATATGTATATTTTTTAACATAAATGCATATACGTATACATACACACATACATACATACACATGCACACGCACACACACGTACACACATACAAACACATACATTCGCACACAAACAATTAATTATATTTTTTATTTTTCCCAAATTTTGCTCCTAAGTGGATGTTGTGCCAATTATTGTTCGCCTAATAGAAAATGTTCCAAACTTATTCACTGTACTTACAATTATTGACTTAATATTAATATTGACTTAATTTATATATTATAAATGTACATTTATTGATTCGTTCTTTCGTTCGTTCATTTATTCATTCATTTGTACGTTCGTTCGTTCGTTCATTCATTCATTCGTTCATTCATTCATTCGTTCGTTCGTTCATTCATTCATTTGTTTGTTCGTTCATTCATTCATTCATACATCCATTTATTTAACTGCATTATTTGCTCCATCCCGTTTGCGTCGGGCCACCACATAGTCGTTTGGTTGTTGCCAGGAAGAACACACGCCCGTCGTGTTTACACGTACGCTCCAACCTTCATTATAAACGTTATTGTAACAATTGTAGCAAGCGAATATTTAAAAAAATGAAAAACATGATTGAATGAACGAACGAACGAACGAACAAACGAACGAATGAATGAACGAACGAACGAATGAAAGAAAGAATGAATGAATGAATGAATGAATGAATGAATGAACGAATGAATGAATGATTGAATGAATGAACGAACAAAAGAACAAATGAGTGAATACAATTGGATGAATAAAAATGATCATCAAAAAGTTAAATACAATATAACGACAAAATGCTTCTCACTGATGCTTCTTTGACATGGTATAAAATTACATGATAATGAATTTTTCCAAAAATGTAAAAAAATGTTTTTGAAAAATAAAAAAACACACTAACACAACACCGTGATTACATAATATATATATATATATATATATATATATATATATATATATGTGTGTGTGTGTGTGTGTGTGTGTGTGTGTGTGTGTGTGTGTGTGTGTGTGTGTGTGTGTGTGTGTATAAATTTATATGAAATAAATTAAAAAAAGTTAGAGTAAAAATTAATATTTGTGCAATAATAGTAATAATAGAATGAGATCGAAGAATTGTTTGAAAATTAAAACATGTACACACACAGACACAAACACACATACACAAACACATGCACACACACACAAACAAACAAACACACAAACAAACAATCATACACACACAAACAAACATACACACACACACACACACACCAGTACAATAACACACCCATGCCTAAAGTTTAATAAAATTATATCACAAAATTTTGAACTGCAATTTAAGTTAAGCAAATGATAAAAATCCAGTTTAGAGGATGTTGACACGATAGGCTGCTCCTTATAGTTGGAGATGTTGTAATTTCAATCTGTGATCTTCGTGCAGCAGAAGAGAGGAGAATGATCGAAAGTTAAAAGTTGAATGATGAGGGGAAGAGGTTATTTATTATTTTTACATAAAACTACGCAAAAATAAAGCAGAAATATTTACCTTGTTTTCAACTATATTCAAAATTTTGTACATAAATTCATATATTTGTTTGTCTGTGTGTGTGTGTGCGACAGGGAGAGAAAGAGAGAGAGAGAGGGAGAGAGAGTAAGAGAGGAGAGAATGAAAAAAGTAAATACATAAACCACAAACTTGAACAATTTTCAGAAAATTTTAGTAAAGAGAAATGAATAGACATACTTTAAATTGATTAATGCACACAATTCGGTAGAATTCATACAATACTGTATATATATATATATATATATATATATATATATTTGTATATGAAAATGATTGTATGTATGTATGTATGTTTCTATATCATACTCATTGCGTGTGTGTGTGTGTGTACGTGTGTGCGTGTGTGCCTATGCAAATAAACATTCGCAAGCAAAAAACACACATGTGTGTGTTTGTGTATGTTAAATATTGTAAAAATTACTGTTTTGAAGAAACACTCCACGCAGTGCGCAAAAGTGGAAAAATATTGTTTGCATAAAAAACAACAGGATGTTACTAGTAGGTAGTAGTAAAATAGGTAGTATGAAATATATATATATATATATATATATACATTATAGATATATATGAGATATATATGATATATATATATATATATAATAATTGATTAATAAACATGATTTCATGTTAAATAGTAGAAATATATTTTAGTATAGTGCATAGTATATGGATGAAATGAATATGGGATGATAAGTTACGATTGATTATATCAGCAGCAGTAATGTAAATGTTGTCAATTCTTGGTGGTAAAATTATTAGCCTTAAATCTATATGTGTGTGTGTGCGTGCGTGTGTGTGTGTTTCTCTGTGTGTCTTTTTGTCTCTGCTCTGTGTTTATATATATGTATTTGCGTGTGTTTATATATATATATATATATATGTGTGTGTGTGTGTGTGTGTGTGTGTGTGTGCGCGCGCGTGTGTAGTGTGTGTGTGACATGACATTTTATTTATTCCAGTTTTAAAAATTTCCTAATGAAATGTGATGATTATATAGGAGCGGTATGCTTGCGACGCAGAAAAATGCAAAATGATCTCAATTATTATTATTATAGTTATTATTATTTTTTTTAGTATAACAATATCATTCATAATTATATTTTTTCTGCTTTATCATTTTTATTATTCCTCTTTTGCATATATTTTTATTTTGTCAAAATTTTTGCCAACATTTTCTTAAACGGCTGAAATATTTTTCTGCGTGTCTGCCATTTTAAAGTTCAATTTCCCTTACTATTTTCTTGCAATGGCGCTACTTCTTTTATTAATTTCTTGCCACAGATAAATTCCCGCCAAAATTTCATTTGCTTCAGCGATCCGTTGTTAACCATCCTATCAATCAATCTAAACATACAGTCGTATCTAATTTCTTGGCTGTCACAGAAATAATTTAAATGAAAAATATACTCGCCCAACAATTTTAACTGATAATATCCCGACATAATTTTAACTGATAATTTCCCGCCATAATTTTAAATAATAATTTTCCGCCATAATTCGAAAAAATAATCTCCCGCCATTAAGCCACCATGGGCAGTTTGGTTGAGTAGGTGTTTGTCTTGCGGAGACCCAGACAGCTGCGGTTGTCAATCTCGATGCTGCGTTCCTTCGTGGCTATGTCGTTCTCCAGGGCAGATCTGATTGGAGGTGGGTGGTGGTTTGTTGTTACCAATCAATCAATCAATCTATCGATCGATCAATCAATCAATCAAACAATCAATCAGTCTTTCACTCAATCAATAAGCTATCTAAATAATCAATCAAAGCTCAGATTCGACTGACCTTGTCTTTTGCAGCCTGGCCAGTGATTGTTCAGCGTCCTTCAACTTGACCTTCAAAAGACGAATGGATTCTTTTATCTCTTCCACCTCTTTTTGCAGTCTGCAAATGTTTTTAAATTTAAGTTTTCAAATCAAATTTTCGTCAACAATTGTTAATTGTAAGGTACGACTGACATTCATCTGAAAAAAATTATTCAGGATCAATACTTCATACAAATACGCATGAGAGTTAAGCATCATTACAACAAAACCGACAGAATGGACAACAAATGAGGAGAATAAGTGAAGCTGCGGAGGGGAAAAAATATCAACTCATTCGAATGGAGAGAGATGGGTTGGATTGTGGCCAAGCAATAATGACAACAACAAAATACAACACAAACAATAACATCTCAACAACAACAACATACAGCACAAACAATAACATCACATCAACACAATAAAACAACATACAACAATAACAACAACAACACAACAACAAAAACGACAACACAACAACGTACAACACTAGCAACAACAACACAACAACAACAATGACAACACAACAACGTACAACACTAACAACGACATCACAACAACAACATCATAACGACGACAACAACGGCAACAAACCCTTGCATAGACGGATCATTACACAGCTCCACATCAATCCTTCTCGTCCTCTCCTCCAGGCGTGTCTGCGCGACCTTCAACGGCAGCTCCTTGTCGCAGATTGCCTTCCGCAGCATCATGATCACTCTATCCATCTCCTTTATCTCGGAGAGAGTCTGAAAAATTGAGATGGGGTGGATGAAGAAACAGAAGAGGAAGATGGTGATGATGAAGAGGAGGTAGATAGTTTATCATTGCGTCATCCAGCAATCATATGATAACTAGAAGCATCGTAACTGTAGCCATGTAAAGTGATAAGCTTAACTAAAAAAAAACAAATACTAAATTACGAAAATTTGGAAAATTAATAAGCTTAACTAAAAAATTATTTACTTACTTAATTAATGAACTACTTAATTACTTATTTAATTCATTTAATTACTTAATTAATGAACTACTTAATTACCTACTTAATTCATTTATTAATTAAACCAACTTTCTGCAGGTGTGCCTGCATCTTGTTCTTTGCATCCTGAAGCTCCTGGACGCGCGTCTGTAGGGCGGCATTGGCCGTGTTGTTGTGGGCGTTCATCTCAGTGTTGCACTGCCTCATCAGAGCGTCCATCTCGCCACGCAACCGCAGCGAGGCCTCGCGTTCCCGCTGCGATCGCCCGATGTTCTCCTGGGTGTACTTCATCCAGGTCACTGGTACCGTGATGCTGTGGTTGGTAGTGGCCGTTGGTGGTTATGTGTGGTGTGGTTGGTAGTGGCTGTTGGTGAGGATGATGTGTGGTGTGGCTGGTGGTGATGTGTAGTGGTGTGGTTGGTAGTGGCTGTTGGTGGTTATGTGTGGTGTGGTTGGTGTGGTTGGTAGTGGCTGTTGGTGAAGATGATGTGTGGTGTGGCTGGTGGTGATTTGTAGTGGTGTGGTTGTTGGTGGTGTGTGGTCGTGGTTGGTTGTGTGATGTGGTTGGCTGTTTGGTGGTGCGGCTGATTGTGTCTTGGTTGGTGTTTGTTTTGTTATTAGTGATGTTTTTTTTGCATCGTAAAATAATAATATTAAAACCTAAAACGAACGGACGAAACAACAACAACAACAACATCAACAATAACATCAACATCAACAACAACATCAACAACATCAACAACAACATCAACAACAACGTCAACAACAACAACATCTGCAACTAACGTGTTGTCATAGTTTTCGATGTTCGGGAACAGTCCAATGTTACTGGACATGTTGTGCAACTGTTGGACCTTGCCGTCTAGGTCCTGCGCATGATGTTTGTTCCTCGAGTCCTGATCACATATCAACTGAGCTGCCCTGGTCATTCTATTGGCAATGACGTCATGATGATGTCATGATGGTGTCGTGATGATATTGTGATGATGTCATATTGATGTCATGATGGTGTTGTGATGATGTCATGATGATGTCATAATGATGTCATGATGGTGTCATGATGATGTCATGATGGTGTCGTGATGGTGTCATAATGATGTCATGATGACGTCATATAAGCGTTTGTGTGGTCATTGTTACAT